GATTCATAACAGTAGCAACATTACAGTTAGGAAGTAGCCACGAAAATAATGTTATGGTTGGGTCACAACATGAGGAACTGTATTTAAAGGGCCAGAAGGTTGAGAACCACGGCGTTAGGACAACCACATGGCAGGAACTCTGGGCCCAAGAGGCAGCAGAGGGCGGACACTGTGCAAGTCTGGCCGAGAGAGGAAGGAGGCAGGTGTGAATGCCAGATAGTAACACTATTTCAGCAAAGTTTTAGACACGCTACACAAGCCATGCACGGTTGCTATGGTTTCCTTTCATCTCTACAAATAAAGAACTCTCCACTGTGCAGTATTGTACATAAAAAAAGAAAATTTTAACCACCTTTTAATTTTTTTAAAAAGTATATTTTTATTGATTTCTATTAAACTTATATGGTACGTTGCTTACCCATGATTAAAACATACACTTACAATTGAATAACATGGCAAGAGAACACTGGCTTCCACTAAGGGCAGATTTATTTACTGATGAATTTTAAGCCCCTAATGTTTTCCATTCAGCTTTGACTGGTTATTGACCCACTTGAGAAACTAAAAAAAAAACCAGCCCGGTCCCACCAAGTCTAATTCAATCAGAATCAGGGCATGTGTATATTTCTTTTAATTCCGCAGGACGCAGGCGACGCCAGATACATATAAATAGTAGGTATGTCTACTGAGAAACTAAAAAAAAAAACCAGCCCGGTCCCACCAAGTCTAATTAAATCAGAATCAGGGCATGTGTATATTTCTTTAAATTCCGCAGCACGTAGGCGACGCCAGATACATATAAATAGTAGGTATGTCTAACATTTTAACCAACTTTTAATTTTTTTAAAAAGTATATTTTTATTGATTTCAGTTAGAAATTTTCAGGAGAATCACTGCTACCCTTTCTCTAGCACACCTAATTTTACTCTGAGCAGTAACTATTTTTACTATTATTTAGTATTAATAGTTTGTAACTCTTTTTGTAACTATTACTAAGAACTATTTTTATTAACAATCCTCACCAGCGATGAAAAAAATAAAGATCAAAGGAGGGGTTGGTTGAAGAGGGCATTTTTGTCACAGTGTATGTTAGCACATCTTCTACGAAGACTCAAGCCAACAAACGTGTAGAGAAAATACACAGGCCCCTCCTTCCTCGGCCTCTAGTGATTAGAATCTACGCCAGTGATGGCGAACCTATGACACGCGTGTCAGAGGTAACACTCGAACTCATTTTTTTGGTTGATTTTTCTTTGTTAAATGGCATTTAAATATATAAAATAAATATCAAAAATATAA